GGGGGGGGGCGGAATGGCATCCGAGTATGAATAGGTTGAATAAAAAACGATAGCAAATTGCAAACAGGAAGACGATAGTGAAATATTAAAATGAATAAATAAGCTAATTCATGAGGTGTTCAGCCAAACCTGTAATAATTGTTGGTCGAATTACTAAAAAGCGAGGAAGAATAGGGACGATACTGTTTTTGTATATGTGACGTTCCGTGCGGGAAAGAGCCTATAATGGGAGCGGGTACGGGGGTTTGACATAGATTTAACGAGATCGTTGTGCAAGCAGTGATTTTCTTTATTCAAGATTCTNAGATATTCTTTCAAATGCGTCGATATGTTTGCACAAAGTAAAATCAACCAGGATATCTCTGGCTATGCCACTATATCGGGATAGGAGTTGTATGGACCTGGGAATTAATACGAAAGCTTTTTTGTTCCAAATGGGAAAAATACAGGGGAACAAAACAACCAATAAGGAAGGATGCATGCTACCACGAACATGAAAATGACGTTTGTGGGAACAGCAAGCTTCCTAAGCCTGTAAGCATAAAAAGAGAGTTTACGAACCTTGTTGTAAACGTTCTCTACATGCAAGGTCCAAGAGAGATTGTGGGATAGAATGACTACGAGGGATTTAACAGAGTCAGCTTTGTGAATGCTGTGACGCGGTCTGGTAAATCATTGAAATTAGCTTGATAACGGGAGCCATATTTAAGGCTAAAGGGGACGTTGACACATTTGGACACATGAGGCATGAATGATCGGGGTACAGACCAACTTAAAACGTTGTTCAGACTGCTTTGAAATTGGTGGAAATAAGCAGCAGTGCTGAAGGGGCACCCAATCACCACATCATCGGCATACTTACAGGCAATAAAGTTGGCGGGGACAGGCCGGTGATTTATGTACAGGGAAAAATAAGGGAGACAAAATGGTGCCCTCAAAGACACCGGAGTTAACATAAGATGACGACGGCCTTTTACCATTGCATGAGGTGAATTACGTCCTAAAACAGAAGTAGTTTACAATAATGTTTAACACATCGGATCCTAAACTGAAGATGCCGGCTGTTTCTAGTAAAACCAAACAACGTAAGGGTTGAAACGATTCACATCCATTCAGCCTGATAGGCTTTACACCGAGCAGGACCTATAATGCTCAATAAAAGTGTTTTATTCATCTGCTCAATCGAGTACACACATACAAAGACAGTTTATGCCGGTTCACCTAATTCTGGCTAGTCAATAGAAATTTTGATGCACAGATGCATACGGGAAGAAAGTGAGATTTGTTTGCCGGGGTGGTGGGTGCAAGTGATGGAATGCGTTGATCGTGTGCTAATCCTCAAGATGACCACACTTATATCCCTCTGTCCCACTCCGATCCCTCCCCCCCCACTCTCCCGCTCTCCTCTCTATTCCACGAAAACACAATGAGCAGTATAGTTATCGCTTTCCAATCAAGCGTAAGATCCAAGTGAAATGAGGCGCTTCAATAAAAAGGCATGCGGTTGCACAGTCCCCACAAAAGAAACAAATTCCCCTGATGTGTTTTTGAGAAACATGTTCTTCTATTCGGACGAATTTCTCACCGGACAGGTGGTGCGTGTTCGAGCCGGTCCAAGTTGAACTACTCGCAGGCAAGCAATTGCTGTGATCAAGATGCGAAGATGGGTGGGATGGGTGTGGGACTGGTGACCCGAGAGGTGGGGGGGGGGTGTCGGGGGGTCGGAGGACAAGTGAGCTCGGTTAACGGAGAACGATAAAACAGAACATGTTTTGTCACGGATTACTGTTTGTGCGAATGCACAACATTGTGTCCTCACTAGTCCCACTGCTATCGGTTTGGAATGCTCATGGCTTGAAAAAGGGCTTGCTTGTGTCTCGTTCGCAGGGTACACATTTACAACACGAACCGAGGGAGTAAAATTCCATTTCTCATGATTCTTCCAGGCTGTGTGTGTGCGTGCGTTGGTCAGGTTGATTCGTATAAGAACACTACCATTTTCAAGCATCCAGTCGCGCACGAACCCAGATGCTCGCCTCAATCGTGGATGATCATGAGGATTATTGGATGGAAGGATGGCGAACATCTACTCCCGGAAGGAATGTGGCGCGCGTTGAACCGGTTACTACAATGGTATGTAAGCAAAGATTTTCTTTACCGTTTTTCAAATACGATAAGTTGTATTATGACTGAATTTGTAGATGTGGTTTGTTTTATAATATATATATATATATATATATCACATGTCTTCCGAATTCACTGAGGTTAGAATCAGGTCACCGAGGCTCACGAGTTAAACGCATGACCGGATCAGGTTATCCGGAATAGCACTTAACAGTTTGTTTCATGGAAGTTCGTGCAAATTTCAGCCGTTTTTCTTATTTCACACACTAACAGGTATGTGAGCTCAATTCCTCAGTGAACGGAGCTCTTGCATATGTAGAATGGTCATTATTCTAGCACCGGAAGTTTGGACTGAAGACGTGTATAAGATCCCAAAGAGGATGCATTCTTTTGGGCCAACTGATAACACAATCATCTAACACCAGCCTAGCAATCCGGATCGAGATTACACAGTGGTGTGGAGTAGCATACTACAGTTGTTAGTCTTATAGCTCATGTCCCAAAGTGATCAGGGATATAACCAACTGACGCTGATACGGATCGGCCTTTATGGTTCAAGGTTCACATACTACCACCATCCAACTTTGCTGGTAGGTTCAGTCAGTGCCTACAGGCTTAGTTCAGCCATAGTGGCTCTCTACACCAACTGTCGGAGATTAAGTCACTTGGTTCTTTAACTGATTGCTAGGTTCACGTGACTGTGAGGGCTTATTCCTTCAACTCGTCACTAATCATGAGTTATGTAATGATAGAGTTTGAGGAACAGGTGAAGTTAAAAGAATCTATTCTCGTATTTATTGGAATAGTTTTCGCAAATAAGATTAATATGTATGTATATGCATGGAAGTACCTGGTAGATCAATGATTTTTATGCTTTGCATACCATTTCAACTTTCTCAACTAGCTCCGTAGTTTTCAGTTAAGCATGGATAGTCAAGTTGTGATATGTGGTGATGACGCGAGCAACTGCAATGAATAGTCCCAATGGAACCAATTCGAAGGAACTGAAAGTCATAATTGGAGAATCTCCCGGACATGAAAATCCATCGCTGCTTAAGCTTATTGGTCCAATTTCATTTTTGCCTTGACAACTATAATAAAATGGACAGTGGGACGATGTAGTTAAAAGTCTTTCCTGAAAATAATTAGAATATGAAGATGTCTGACCGATTGAATGCCTTAAATAGACCATTTTCGTGATAAATTTGATAAGAAAAGCCTGTGTAGCCTACGCATAGTCAACAAGAGCCACTATCAACTGATAGGAAACTACAACTCATGGGCCCCGGGACTTGAAGTAGCGAACAACACATAAGGCCCAGTTGCAGATACGTGGTATCCACCGGTACGACAGGGAAGCTATCTGTCACGGGATATGGGGGCTGATGAGTGATCTGCAAAATGATCAATCATAAATGAGGCAGTTGAAACAATTATTTACCGAAATGAACATGAACAACACAACACTACAAGCGAGCACGATTTAATTCGGGAATCATTTCGCTGCATCTCAGCTGGTGCTTCCTGCAGAAACAAAATAGTTTATACATCACAGGGCATGCCCGTTTTACATGTTATCAGTTCATTCTTCCGCTTACGTGATCACCAGGCCAATGCCAGACTGAAGTTGACTTCCTTCTGCTGATAAAATAGGGACTTTCAGCGCTTGAGTGCTATGGCCTCTGCAAATCTTAGCAGCCGTCCATTCGGGGTTGTTTAAAAACCCGAAAAGAAGCCCCACGAGACATTTAAAACAACCGGCAAAAAAATTCTCATGCTGCATCATTACAAAGCGTTTGGCTCCGTGTCTTGTGTACACGATGCGTTTCCACAATCGGCCTTCCCGAATCCACTGGAGAGTGGTGCACTGAGTCACCTTCCATTACCGACCAAAGTAAAATGCATGGGCCCTCTCGAGCAGATTAATTTCATGCAAGATCTGGAAACTATCCCAATTAAAAACAAAGATATTGAACGAATAACAAATAGCGATCCATTTCTATCCACGGTTAACTATTTAATGAATGATCTTCAGAATACATTATTCGATTAAACGATGACCCAAAACTG